CACCCTCCCCGGGGCAGCAGCCACAGCAGTGACCCCAAGGCTCTGGAGGTCCCGGTTCTGCTCTGGGGTGGCCCCAGTGGGGCAGAACTCACATTTGTGGGGCTGGAAAATCTCCAGGGATGGGTTGGGCACTGGGCAGAGCAGTGTCCCTGTCCCCTGTTTGTGTGGCCCCGCTGGTGGCACGGCCCTGGGGCACCCCCAAACGCCTGGCCGGGTTCATTCCCAGGGGGATTTTTGCCTCTGCAGCCCCCCAGAGCCAGCCCAGCTGGGCAGAGTTTGCATTTTTGGCTGCAAGGCCAGAATAAAGCCATGACTGCAGGGAATGGGGCTGCACCGGGTGATTTCCTGAGCCGGAGAACCCTCAGGGTTCCAATGTTCACCTCAGGGCTGTCCCCACGTCCCCTCCCAAAATCCCCCAGGGCAAGGAGCCCCTTTGGGGAGCCCCCCAAGCGTTTCCTGCCCCAACGGCCTCCAGGGTTGGGCATTTCCTCCAAAACCTCCTCCCCCAGCAGGGAGAGCTGCCCCAAAACCGGGAGGGGAGGAGAGGCCACAGGGCCACCACTGGCCTGGGCAGGAGCCCCCCTGGCACCCCCATTGCTGGGGAACTGCAATAAAAACACAATATAAGGGGTTTCACCGGGGAGTTTCTGTTTCACTGAAATCAATTTCTCTGCAGTTCTCCAAAGGCTGCCCCAGGCAGGGCTCGGGCAGCAGGGGAAGTGTCCCCAGGCCACGAGGAGCCAGGGAGGGCAGTGGCAATCTGCAAACATTGCAAACATTTGCAAATGTGACTTTCACATTTCTGCAAATGAAGCCACAGCAGCCCCGGAGACAGCGCAAACACACAAAGCCACAGAGAGTCACACAAAAATTCACACAAAGTCAAACTCACACAAAAACTCACACAAACTCACACACAAACTCACACGATGTCACAAGAACTCACACAAAGTCACACAAACTCACACAAAGTCACACAAACTCACACAAAGTCATGCTCACCCAGCAGCTGGAAGCTGCAGAAAGCACCAGGGGTTTCACCACAAGCCAAACCCAGCCCCGGGGTGGATTTTTGGATGGCCTGGGCTCAGGCTGGGCTCTGCAGCCTCTCGCTGACCACATCCTCAGCCCTAAATCCCCTCCCTGACCACCCCTAAATCCCCTCCCTGACCACCCCATCATTGTCACCCCTAAATCCCCTGTTCCCTCCAGCCTGGGCCTGAGCCTTTGTGCCACCAGAAAGGAACTGGGTGGTTTAAATCCCCCCAAACTCGGGTTTTGGGGGGCAGCAGCCCCATCTCCCTGCTCCCCAGCATCCCTCACTGATAAATCTGCAAATCACTTCTTGGAAATCATCTGCAGATCATCTGCTCTGTCTCTAAAGTGGCACCAGGGGCCACTGAGCCAAAACCTCAGCTGGGCTCAGGCCCAGGGCCCCCCCAGGCCTGTCCGGGCCCTGCAGACATGGAGGGGCACCAAGGAACCCTCATGGAGGAACTCTCATGGAGAAACCCTCACCAAGGAGCCCTCACTGAGGAGCCCTCATAGAGGAGCTCTCACCGAGGAACCCTCATGGAAGAGCCTTCACCAAGGAGCCCTCACCAAGGAACTTTCACGGAGGAATCCTTATGGAGGAGCCCTCATAGAAGAGCCCTGACCGAGGAACTTTCACCAAGGAGCCCTCACCGAGGAACCCTCATGGAGGAACCCTTATGGAGGAGCCCTCATAGAAGAGCCCTGACCGAGGAACTTTCACCAAGGAGCCCTCACGGAAGAGCCCTCACGGAGGGGCACCAAGGAGCCCTGACAGAGGGGCCCTCATGGAGGAGCCCTCACCAAGGAACCCTCATGGAGGAACCCTTATGGAGGAACCCTCACAGAGGAACCCTCACGGAGGGGCACCAAGGAACCCTCATGGAGGAACCCTCACGGTACCTATTTTCGCAGTGTCCATCTTCAGGTTGAAATCCCAGTTCCGTGGCAGCTTGAGGGACATGCTGGATCAGGAAAGTTCTTGTTTTTCTCTTTCCTCAAGGTGAGCTTGTTCAGGAGAGGGGCTGGAACCAAGCCCTGACGGTCCCGTGGGGGTCCCCCCACCAAGAGCAGCGGCTCGGCGACGCTTGGTTTGCCAGCGAGCTTCCTGCCTCCGAGAGCAGCCAAAACCCCATAAAAGTCCTTTCCTGCCCTGCTTTCCTGCCCAGCTCTGGCTTGCCCAGCCGTGCTCCCCGCTGGTGCCAGCCCTNTGGCACTGGGTGGCACTGGGTGGGCTTTGAGTCCCTCCTGTTGATCCACAGGAACGTGAGCCCACACTCCTGGAGCCCCAGGGGCTGATGCAGAGGCTGGAAAGGGTTGACATTCTCCAATTTTGACTTTCAGCAGTTGGTTACTGCTAAAACAGACACAGAACAGCACCATGCAAACGCAGTCTGCAATCCCAGACATTCCCTGGAGCTTTGCACCAAGTTTGGTGTTATCCTGGCAGGGAATGAGCTCCCTCCTTTCCCCTCGGCATTTCTCGTTCTCTGCCCATCGGCAATTCACACCAGCAGCAACTTTGGCCCGATAATATTGATCGTGTGTCTTGTGCTTCCTCTGCGGGCCCTAATTAGTGCCTTGGAGATAATGAGCAGGGAGTGAAGGGCAGGGGAGCGGGGCTGCCCCTCTGCAGCCCTGACACTGCTCAGGGCACAGCACTAATGAGCTCCCAGAGCTGCATTAACCCTGCTCTGGCTCTCCTGGCCTTGCCCACAGCAGCCCCTGGGGACTGGGAGCCACTGGGACACAGGAAAACCCCTGGGAATGAGGAAAATCCCTGGGACACAGGAAAACCCCTGGGAATGAGGAATTGAGGTCTCTGCCCTCTGCCAGCTGCTCTCCTGCCATGCCCACCCTGCTCCTGCAGCATTGCTCCCATGGGTAACCCACCGTCCTCACCCACGGGCAAAGGCTCAGCTGCAATTTTATATTTAAAAGCCATTTATTTTAAAAGCCATCTGCTTGTGAGTGAGCAGGAGCAGGTCAGCGTGGCTGACAGCAATTTAATCTGCATTTCCACAGCTCCCTGTGCCATCCCTGACCCCACAGCAATGCCTGTCCCCTGCCAGCAAGGGGACAGACCCAGCCCTGAGGAGATAATGAGTCTCTAAACACGTGTCCCACGTCTCCTGCAAAGTGTAAATGTGATTTATCCCCGTTTCACACTTTACAGAGCGTTCTTTCCCCTGGATAGGAGGGATACAGCAAGGGAGCAGCAGTTCCCAGCCCCCCAGTGGAAACATCCCTTCCCAGGGTGTGACAACACTCCAGTTTCCAGTGGATGCTTTGACCTTTCGCTCCTCAGCGCTGTCTGGAGCTGCTGTGTTGGGAACAACTGTCCTTGGGGTGCTTGGCTGACCTCCTGACTCCTTTTGGAAAGGCATTTCCATGGAGCTCTCAGCACTTCAGACCAGCACCAGACCTTTAGTGGCATCAGAACTGTGGATGGATGTGAAGGGAACACTTGACAGCGCTCAGAAATCCATCCCTGGAGCTCCAGGCAGGACAGGCAGGGGAAAGGTGTCGCTGAAAAGGCTCCAAAGCCCCCGGTGGCCTCGGGGATGAGTGTGGATCTCACCCAGAGCACGTGGAGCTCAAGGGGAGCCTCTGGGCTGGAAGGCAGCCTGGGCCAGCCTTTATCAGGAGATGAGGAAGGAGAGGCTGCCAGGGAAAGCAGAGATTGACCCCTCACATGCTCGAGCGCAGCTGCCAGGCCAGGACTGAGCCGAGGGCAGAGCTGGCCCCGGCCCCCCTGGCTGGGGAAATCTCTGCTGGTGCAGATCACAGGAACCTGCCCTGTTCCCAGCCCTCATCGGGACATTGTGTGGAGAGGGCTGAAATATCACATCGTGGTTTTACGCCTGATAAAGCCAATTTTCACAGGCTGCTGATGGGCCCTCGGCCGCCCCGGGGTGCAGGGGGACCTTGGGGACAGGGCTCTGTGTGCAAAGGGCTTTTTGTGAGCTCGGGGTGTTTCCATCTCTGTTCACCTGGTGGATCTCTGCTCTTTCCAAAGGCTGAGCACACCCTGCAGTGCTGCAGAGGCAGCACCAGCTCTGCTCTGCCCCACAAACCCCACCCAAACCTCTGGGTTTATAATTATAAACCTTATTTATTGAGAACCCAGCACTGCTCACGGGAATTACCTGCTGGGGAAGCTCTTGGAGAGAAGAGGGGGAGCTCCTGCTGCCCTTGGTGGGGAGATTTTGGCAGCGTGGACCCTCCAAAGTCAATGCAAGGAGTAAAATCCTCCAAGAACTGGAGCACAGCAGCACCCAGGGCCTGCTTGAACCTCCCAGCTCCTAAACTCGCAGAGTTTGGGTTTGGGATGAGGATTTTCTCCAAGGAAAAGCTCATTTGGACAACTCTTAGCCCCTGCTACCCCACGTGCTCCCTGGATCACCAGGACCCTCCTTTTTTCCAGGTTATTTTTCCTGCAGGCCACTGTGGCTTCATAAATCCTGGTGCTGCAGCAAGGTGGCAGGAAAACACAGGGAAAAGGGACGGAGGGACAGCTGCCAGCCTTTGGGACACTGTTCCCTGCCCACCTGGGTGAACAGCTGCTGGTACACCCAGCCTGGCGCGTTTTCTCCCCAAAACCAGCCTGGCCTGGGGGTCTCTTTCAGCTGCCACGTAAAGGAAGGGAGGATGAGCTGCATCGCTCTGGCATTCTGGGCAGAACAGCATGTTCCATGCTCTCGCTGCTCCTGGGGCCTGGAGGAGCCTCCTCACCACGGCCGGACACTTCCTGCACGTCCACCTCGCCTCCCCCTGCAGCGAGCGCCTCTGGGCAGCGGCCAGGCCGAAAAAGGAAACTCCTATCGTGCCAGAAACAAAACTTTGATAAATACGAGGGGATAAGTCACAATAAGCGTGACTGGCTCGGGGTCCAAACACAGTAATGTGGGAAGGAAAGTTTTGTTTTCTTGCCCCTCGCGCCTCCCCAGCCCTTGGACACAACAGAGTGAATTCCTAAATGAATTTATTTAGTGACTGCCTGAGGAGAGCAGAACAGACTTTCTGCTCTAGCACAAACAATGCAGTGAGGGGACTGAAAGGATGGCCTGGAAGGTGCCTTCCTTTCATCCCACACTGCACAATTTAACATTTCTGGATGCAATGGGATTTGGGGTTAATTTGGAAAGCCATGTCACATTTAAAGGGAGAGGAAAATCCTCAGCCTGATCTCAGGGTTATCACCTTGCTAAAGCTCTTGTGTCCTCACGGTGCAGTGGTGAAAAATGTCAATTTTGGAGGTTTCCAAGCCTACAGGACAGGGCTGGAAAGGATCATTTTTCTCTGTGGTAGACAGTCTGTTGTGCATTCATACAGCAGGAGCAGCATCACCCTCTGCAGGGGATCCAGAGTCAATGCCCAAAACCTGCTGAGCTGAAAGGCCCTAAAACCCCCAAAACCGTGAGTTGATAATGTCCCCTGCCCCAGGAACAGGAGAGAGTCTCTGCTGCTCCCACCCCAAAGAGCTTCCTGGCCTGGCTGCAGAAATGGAGGGAGGGAGGCAATGCAGCCTGGGCACCAGGCAGGTTTTGGGGATTCACGTTGTGGGGTCTCCAGCAGAAGGTGTCCAATGCAGAAAATCCAGAGCAGGCTCTGGGCTGAGCAGAGAGGACACCCAGCCCCTCACGGATGAAGAGGGAGCAGATTCACAGGTCTGGCACGGGCGGTCCATGGTTCTCTGTCTCTGGAAAAAGCAAAGAACTCCTCATGATCTCCCAGCAGCAGCTCAAGGTGCCCGTGGCTCTCTCCCCTCCAGGCTCTCAGGAACCTCCAGCCCACCTGACCTCTGTTGGGAAGTCTCTCTGTCCCAGATGACCTCTGCAAACCCTGCAAATGTTAATGGGTGGAATATCTTCAAAGAGTGCCTCTGATCCTGCAGCCAGGGGCTGTTCTGCCTATCGCAGCGGAAGCGCAGGAATGCACAGTTTATTTTAAATAATGCACTTGTCCTAATGGTGGGGATTTCTGAGCCTCAGCCAAGCCTTTGCACGTCATTCCAGTCTGCTGTGAAGGATGATTGGCCTCTTCACACTTTTGATCTTTGCAGAAAGGAGCGTGTGGCATTTCCAGCCCAGATGTTCCCGATGCTGCACGGAGAAGTTTCTCCCTAAGGACTCACGCTCACATTGGTGAGGAGCTTCTTGCAGAGGTAAAAATTCAATAAACACTAAAACAGCTCTGTCAAGGTCAGCTGAAATCACAGGAAAGACTCGTGAATGGCAGCTGTGAAGTGCTGGCAGACACTGTGGAACCTCTGGTGTGAGAGTGGGGATCCAAGGATGTTTTCCTTGGGTATCTCAGACAGGCAGCTGGAGAAGGGACACTTCTGTTCCTCCTTCTGAAGGCACAATGGGTCCAGAGCCCAAACTTCTGAGTGCAATCCTGCCTGAGCAGCAGAAAGTGTCGGCCTGTTCTCCAGGTAACACGAGCAGCTATATAAATAAACACACCCAAATAAAGCTAAAGGATATTTCTGACATTTCCTGGTTCAGAGCACGAAGCAGCCTCTGAGCTCTGCTCTCCTTCCTCCCCCCTGGCCTGTGGGCAGGAGCAGGACCCTGCACAATACAAGTCCCTGGCTCTGAACCTGCAATTCCTGAGCACTCCTGCAGCTGCAGTTGGTGTCTGTGAAAAGCTGGGTGTCTCCTCCTAGTTGGTTTTGGCACCAGTTTGACTCGTGGCTTTAGTTAAGTTTTTTATCTCCTCCTCGAGCATCCTGGTTTTCCTCTCCAGCTCCTCCTGCGAGCGCTCCGCGTTCTTCAGCCTCAGCTCCAGCTCCTCACTCCTCTTCCTCTCCTGCTCCAGCTCCTGGTTCAGCCTCACCACCTTGGCCCACACCTCGTAGTTCTCCTTCTGGAGGCTGCAAAGGGAAACAGAGCATGAAAGGATTGGATTGGATTGGATTGGATTGGATTGGATTGGATTGGATTGGATTGGATTGGGTTGGATTGGATTGGATTGAGTTGGATTGGATTGGGTTGGATTGGATTGGATTGAGTTGGGTTGGATTGGGTTGGATTGGATTGGGTTGGATTGGATTGGATTGAGTTGGGTTGGGTTGGATGGGTTGGGTTGGGTTGGATTGGGTTGGATTGGGTTGGATTGGGTTGGATTGGAAAAGGGCTGGGAAATCATTTGGCTCTCAGCACCAAAACAAGCCAGAGGTGCTGCCCTGAGCCCTTCAGTGGCCACACAACTTCAATAAATCAATAAATGTGATCTGTGGCTATTGCTAATGGGATAATAATTGTTTGCTGTCTCAGCACGAGCTGCTCCTGCAGTTACCTTTCCACCTGCCCCTCGTAGTCACTCCTCTGCTCCTCCAAATCCTTCTCCAGCTTGTGGATCACGGCCTGCAGGGACTCCCTGCTGCCCTGCCC